GGAATCTTGAAAAGGGAACACAAAACTGGAGGCATTACACTTTTTGATATCAAATATATCACAAAGCTACAGTAATTAAGCCAGTGCAGTACTGGCATAAAAAGAGAAAAATAGACTAATGGAACAGAATAGAAAGCCCATAAATAAACCCATGCATATGAAGTGTCACAAACACAAACATTCAGTCTATAGCATATGGACAACTTATCTCTGACAAGGGATCTGAGAACACACAGAGGTGAAAGAGTAATCTCTTCAGCAAATAGTGTTGGGAAAACTGGATATCCACATTGAAAAGAATGAAATTGGACCCTTATCCTACATCATACACAAAAATCAACTCAAAATGAAATAAACATTCATTTGAATGTATTGAATGTATGAAATAAACATACATACAGATATAAACATAAGACCTGAAATTGCAATAGTCCAAGAAGAAAGCATTTGTCTTAGCAATGATTTCTTGGATATGACACCAAAAGCAATAATAAACAAATGGGACTGCATCAAACAAAAAAGATGCTCTGCACTAAAGGAAACAATCAACTGAGTGGAAAGTTAACCAACAGAATGGAAAAAATATTTGCAAACCATATATCTGATTAGGAATTAATATCCAAAATATATAAGAAATTCCTATAACCCAATAGCAAAAAACAAAAACAAAAATGGACAAAGGACTTGAATGGACATTTCTTCAGAAAAGACATACAAATGACCAACTAGGTATATGGAAAGATGCTTAACACCACTAATCATCAGGGAAATGCAAATGAAAACCACAATAGGATGTCCTTTCACACTTATTAGTCTGGCTGTTCTAAAAAAAGTAAAATATAACAAGTGTTAGGATGTGTAGAAATTGGAATCTTGTGTACTTGGTGGAAATGTAAAATGGTGCAGCCACTATGGAAAACAGTATGGAGGTTCCTCAGAAACTTAAAAATAGAACTACTGTATGATCCAATGATCCCACTTCTGGGAATTTATCCAAAAGAATTGAAATCTGGATCTCGAAAAGATACCTGGACTCCCATGTTCTTTGTAACATTATTCATAATCACCAAGGTGTAGAAAAAACCTGAATGTTCATTGATGAATGAATGGATAAAGAAAACATAGCTGTACATATAATTGGATCCTATTCTGCCTTAAACAAAGACTGCCATAATTTGACAATATGAATGAGCCTGGAGGACATTATACTAAGTGAAATAAGCCAATCACAGAAGGACAAATATGGCATGGTTCCACTAACATGAGAAATATAAAATACCCAAATCCATACAAATCGTAAAGTAGAACGATGGCTGCCAAGGGCTGGGGGTACGGGGATCTCAAGAGTTATTGTTGAATTGGTATAAGATTTTAGTTTTACAAGATGAATAACATTTAGAGATCTGCTATATAGCTAACAATACTGTGCTACTCTCTTAAAAATTTGCTTAGAGGGTAGATATCATATTGTGTTCTTACCATAGTAAGTAAATAAAATCCATGATTTAAAATTTTGCATTTTTTATACACTAAACTCTTATATATCTTATGATCTTACTTTAGGGGAAGGAGAGAAATGGTTATTTTATATTATTTTTATGTCTGATTTGTACCATAGTTCTTTGGGAGCTTTTAGGCAAAAATAGCCCACCATTTAAGAGTACCACTTCCCTAGAATAACAATCTTCTTTATTTTTTAATGTACATTATACACAGTGTGCTGTGATATGGTAATGTTCAATTAAAATAGTGGTTTAGCCTATATAAGTTTTAGTGTAAGCAAAAAAGTGAATGAGCAAAATAAAGCTACACTTTCCAATGAATGAATTGTGGATGACTGTGAAGTATGGTTACATAATTTTTGACTATGAGAGGCACAGCAATGTATTTTTCCATTTTTAATTCAGCAAACATTTATTGGGCATCTTCTCTGTGTGTGAAATATTATTGAAGACCCAGGATGACAAAAAAGAATAAAAGGATGTCCCTACAGCAATCATTGGACACTCCTTGACTCAGTACTAGCACAGTTTGTCCAGTGAATCCAGAGTGCCAAATATATCTGGCAACCAAAGGAAAGCTTTAGTGTCAGATCCAAAATGTTAGTACACGTGAGTAATCTGAGATTTTACCAAACAGGATTATTATAGTCAATGAACAATATGTTTTGACTTTTTGAGACTGACTTTACCAAATTTGTCATAAGATATTCTCTCCTCCCAGATCTTCTTTTATTCTAAAGACCAGATTGCATATCTTTAAAAAAGAGAGAGAGAGAGAGAGAGAGGATATCATGAATCCAAGGCCCTTGTGAATTTTTTATGTGCTTTGCATCTATTTTGAGAGAAGGTATATCAAGGCACTGTTTTCAGTACTCTACAGGTGTTAACACATAAAATTATCTATCCTAACAACCATAGAGAATAGTATTACTGTTTGCAATTTATGGATGAAGAACCCAAGGCAAACACAGATTGGGTGATTAACCTACCAAAGTTAGGAAGTAATGGAAGGTATGAATGGGGCAGACTTCATTTTTCTCTTTAATTTGGAGCTCTTTACCCACCTTCCCCATGTTAATGTGGGTATTGTCTGTAGTCTTAGCCATGATCTTCTTTGGCATGCACTAGAGAGGATGGGAGTGACTTGGCTCTGCTACCAAGATTAACATTGATCTTAGTACAAATCTCTAACCAAATTTGTAGGGCTTTCCTCTCTTTTTCCCCTACCAAGTCCCCAAGCTGAATTTAGCCAACTAAGATGGGTAAATATTAACTTTTAGGTCAGCACCACCATGCGTCACAGGCCAGAGTCTAAGTACCAGGGAACTTTAGTCTCTTCCAACATCCTCTCACATGGGCAGAGGAAGAAATGCAGCCTCAGATGTTTCTCTGCAAATCAGCCAAATGGTTGTGCCACTTTGTTCTCCACTCAGTAAGATCAGATTGTGTCTTTGTAGATATGTGGATGATACGTTTTTAATGACCACAATGATCAGAGGAATTTTACTGTCGGTCATCAGATCTCTATGTGTTTGGGTTCACAAGTACCGATACATGTTCAAAGAAAAAAAAAAGCACACTAGAGGTCAAGGGATCTTATAAATTCTTTAATGCAAGCCTTTCAATTTATAAAAAAAGGAAAGTGAACACCAAAATATTATTTACCAAAATCACATAGATGTTATTTTTGAAAAAGCACTCAAATGTTAGCTCTCTATGCACTATTGAACTTTAAATTAATTTTTCATCACAGCTATGTAGTAGAGTACAGTTAGAGGACCCCCAATTTCTGCAAGGGTTCTCAGGAAAAAGAACAGGTCCCAGTTCTCTGGCCCCTAAGTTCCTCTTCCCCAAAGAAACCACTTTCATCTCTTTGCCTGGTATCATCTCCACATACCTTCATGGCAAGCAAGGATTGCCACCTCCTGCTTGTCTCAGTTTGGGGCATTGCATATGGACTTTCCCCAGTGGATGATGAGAACTTAGCTCTTTATTCTTCTTACCCACGCTGTGCACAATCAGTTTCTATCCTCCCAGAATACTTATATCTTGGTTTTAATTAGAAAAATATTCAAGGTTTACATGGACTATAGAGTTTGACCCTTGAACAACATGAATTTGAACTGTGCATGTCTACTTGTATGTGGGGTTTTTTTTGATGAATACAGTGCTGTAAATGTATTTTCTCTTCCCAGTGGTTTTCTTAAATTCATTTTTTTTAATGTTCATTTACTTTTGAGAGAGAGACAGAGAATGAGCAGGGGAGGGGCAGACAGAGAGGGAGACACAGAACATGAAGTAGGCTCCAGACTCCCAGCTGTCAGCACAGAGCCCTAATTGGGGCTCGAACTCACGAACTACGAGATCAGGACCTGAGCCGAAATCGGACACTTAACTGACTAAGCCACCCAGGTGCCCCTCCCAATGATTTTCTTTATGGCATTTTTTTTCTCCGGCTTACTTTTTTTATAAGAAAATGGTATATAATACATATAACATATATATCATATATGTTAGTCAACTGTTTAAGTTGTCAGTAAGGCTTCAGGTCAACAGTAGGCTATTAGTAGTTAAATTTGGAGGGAGTCAAAATTTATACATGGATTTTCAACTGTACAGGGGAGCCAACACCCCTAATCACTGCTTTGCTCAAGGGTCAACTGTATATGCTATTCAGAAATGGGACATATACTAAACTTTTTTTCTTACATAACTTATCCCTAGAGTTAATAATTTCCTTTTTACCTGTTTGCTTATTTCTGTATGTTTGTGTTTCTTGAATGTGTGATTTGTTAATTTTTTTTAATGTTTATTTATTTTTGAGAGAGAGAGAGAGTGCATGTGAGCTGGGGAGGGGCAGAGAGAGAGGGAGACACATTATCCGAAGTAGGCTCCAGGCTCTGAGCTGTCAGCAGAGTCTGATGCAGGACTCAAACTCATGAACTGAGAGATCATGACCTGAGCAGAAGTGGGACCCTAAATTGACTGAGCCACACAGGTGCCCCTTGGGTATATGTTTTATGTATTTAACTATTCATCCAATACTAAAATATTTACCAGTTGTCCAACTGCTCTCTCAAGATGTTCTGTGATTCTGTCGGTATCATATGAGAGAGACTTCTGAAACTTCCACGAGAAATGGGGCATATACTAAACTTTTTTCTCTCGTGGAAACTTCTGACCTGCTCATCTGGACTGGTTGCCCTGTCTGCCTGGAGATCTCTTGTCATCAGCATCTGAGAGTCCCTTCACTCGTCTCCTGTGGTGGAGCTCCTACTTCCTAGATGTCATGTCTGTCTTTTCCTTGTTTTATTCCCTCAACATTCATGGGCTACACCCTACAACATCTTTTTGAGGAAAAGTATATGGAGGAAAAGATTACTGAAGGACTTGCCTGTCTAAAACTGCCCGTATTCTACTTCCCCATTCGAATGATAGATGGCATAGAGAGTTCTATATTGGAAATCATTTTCACTTAAAACTTTTTTTTTCCTTCAGAACTGTGAAGACATTGCTCCATTGTCTCCTTGTTCACAATATGGCTGCTGAAAGGTATACCATCATTTCAATCCTCAGTCCTTTATGTATAACTGTATTTTCTTCTTTGGATGTTGGTCCATTATTCTTTATCCTAGTATTATGAAAGTTCATAGTAATATACCTCAGGTGTGGATTTATTTTCATTGTGCTAGGTACCCAGTGGGCCCTTTGAATCTAGAAAATCTACCCTCTAATTTTGAGGAATTTCCTTGAATTATTTTATTAATGTTTTCTTCTCCTATGGGTGTTTTGCTTCACTTTCCAGATCTCCTGGAATTCCTTGATTATCTGCTTTTCATCCTTCCTCTCCTATTATCTATTCTTTGTCTTTTGCTCTAATTTCTTTCATTTTCAGCATAGATTCCTTCAACTGAGGTTTTTATATATGTGGCTATGTTTTTAATTTCCAAGAGGTTTTTGGTTAGTTTGGCTTTTTTTTTGGTTTTTTGTTGTTTTTTTTTTTTTTTTTTTTTTTTTTTTTTTTTTNTTTTTTTTTTGTTTTTTTTTTTTTTTTTTTTTTTTTTTTTTTTGGTTTTTTGAATGCCTTTTTTTTTTTACAGCATCATTTTCTTGCTTCATGATACCATGTATTCTCTTATATCCATGAATTTTTTACTAGTAATTTTTGAAATTTTCCTTTGCCTCCTGGTTCCCAGATCCCTCTAGATTATTTCCGGTTTTCCCCCAGCTATGTGATAAACACTGATGTTCTGCTCAGATCTGTGAGCAGGAAACTAAAAACTGAAGTTCAGAACATGGAGGGGAGTGGGAGCCAGCACTCACAGATGACCACTTATAATGATCTGGCCGAGCCAGTTGCTGAGGAACTTCTAGTGTCAGTAACTTGAGGGCTTTCCCCATTGGATTGGTCAAATCCTCTAAGAAAACTCCAAGCTCTTGCCTGGAGGGTAGGAGCCTGTCTGCCAGTGTGTGTTGGGGAGAAGAGGGTGGGAAGAAGACCGCAGGAATCTTCCTGTCGTGATGTAACGTACCACCCTGAACATTGCCTAGGACACCCCCCGATCCACAGACCTTCTGGTTCTGCCCCCACCGCAGGATAAACTTCCAGTTCTCTGCTGAATGGAGGTACAGAGGTGCTGTCACTTAGGTGACACTAGGGGAAGGTCGGGGGTGTCCACTGCTTCCTAAACAGAGTCCAACCACTGCCATCCTCCTGGCCTCCACCGGAGGCACCTGCTGCCACCAATCGCCACCAATCACTGAGCCTTTGCAGTATAAATCGGGGGTGCTCGTCTGCCTGCCTCCAGCTTCTAGTGTAGCTTTCTCGGGCCCACTGAGTGAGCGGCCACTGTCCACCTGCTTTCTAGCTTTCAAATGCTGCTATTATCACCTCTCCTGGTTCTATTGTTAAAAAGATATACATACACACATGTAATTATTTTTGTTTTAATAAGATTTAGGAGTAGCCCAGAATTGATTAGTAATTTTTTAAATGTTTATTTTTGAGAGAGAGACAAAGAGAGCACACAAGCAGGGAAGGGGCAGAGAGAGGGACAGAGAATCCGAAGTGGACTCTGCACTGACAGCTATGAGCCCTGTGTGGGGCTCAAACTCGTGAGCTGCAAGATAATGACCCAAGCCAAAGTCAGCCACTCAACCAGTTGAGCTACCCAGGTGCCCCAGTGAGTATGTTTGATCCCCGTCTTTACCTGATGTCCTACCAACACATATTTAAATATAATATTTACCAACATATTACCACACACAGGTCCAAGAACATGTAATTATCCACTCTAATTTGTCATAAATTACAGGATTCCAAATAAAAGATTTTTTAAATTGTTTATCAAGAAAAAAAAACTAATTTACCTGTGAACATAAATTTTTCTTGTCTCTCACTGCTTAACATATAACTTTCTAATCGTTCTAGGCTTTATCAACAGACTACTTTATTGCGTATCTGCTTGGTCCTTGGCACTGTGACACGTTCTGTAGAGCTTCTAGCCCTCTCTCTTTCCCCCTACCACTCGACTGAGAGAAATTTATTATGACGTGAATGATTCAAGTTTAAGACTGTATTTCATTTATAACCTGGCTTGGGAACTTTTTACAGGTGAGAGAAACTATTCCTTAAACTTACAGATAGTGTCAAGAAAGTGAATACTGGCATCTATTATCCGCCATGCAGTCACTTTGTAATTTTTTCTCTTTCCCCAGTGGGGTGCAACCGGCATTTTGAGCGAGAAGAAATTCTCTGTTAACTCTGGACAAGGCCAAGCGTTACAGTTTGTTTAGCACATAAACATTACATGCCATTTAGTGTCTTGGCACTGACACACTTAAATACTAATCCCCCCACATGTTTCCAGATATCCTTCCCATATGTCCAAGTGTCCCCTATGGGGCAGTCACCTCCCTTCTCAGAAAGTCACTGGTTTCTCCATACACGTCTTTGAAATGGATCTCATTACATTTTACAACAAAGATCACAAAGACTCAGGTTAAATAAGTTCAGTATGTTCACCATAAGGCAGCACCTGATTTGAAAACGAAGTCGAATTCCAAAGGTAGCTCTAACTGTCTGCTCGCGGTTGCTGAAAGAGTTGACGGAGGTTGTGTTAGCCAGCTTGGGCTGCCGTGACAAAATATCAGAGACTGAGTGGCTTAAAGATTAGAAATTTGTGTTCTCGCAGTTTGGGAGGCTGGAAAGTCCAAGATCAAGGGCCCAGGGACGTTCAGTTTCTGGTAAGAACTTTGTTTCTGGCTTGCAGATGGCTGTCTTATTGCTTTATCCTTGTGTGGTCTTAATGCTTGTGCATGGGGAGAGACAGAGAGCTCTCTGGAGTCTCTTCTTATGAGGGCACTAATCCTCATATCAGACCAGGACCCTACTCTGATGACCTCTTTTAACCTTAATTACTTCCCTAGCTGCTCTTTCTCCATATGTAGCCAAACATTTGGAAGTTAGAGCTTTAACACATGAATTTAGAGGGAACACATTCAGTCCATAACAGAAGTTGAGGACTGAGAACTCATTGTTAGATTTGTTGATTGAACCCCAGATGGCCTTTGTTCCAACAATTTTGGTATAGAGGTAAGGCCAGAAGCCATATGGCAAGGAGTAGATGCTCCAGGAAAACGTGATGATCTGTACCTAAGGGCAGAGAGAGATGGGAGAGTCTAGTGAGCAACACTCAGAGTTGAAAACCTGGTGTGTAGTATATGCTGTTTCCCTCCGCAAATGGAAATTATGCACTCGTGTGTTATGTGCACATAAACGTAGCATTCCTGTCTTATTTGGGGTGCTGTAACAAATTACCACAGACGGGGTGGCTTAAATGACAAACATTTCTTTCTCATGGTTCTAGAGGCTGGAAATGCAAGAGCAGGATCCCAGCTTGGTCAGGTTCTTGGTGAGGATCCCCTTCTGGGTTATGTGCTGACATGGCTGTTCTTTGGTTCCTGCACAAGACAGAGTGAGAGAGTGATCTCCCATCTCTTCCTTTTACAAGGGCACTCATTCTTTTTTTTTTTTTTTCTAAGTATTTAGTTATTTATTTCAATTTTTTTTAAGAGACAGAGAGACAGTGCAGGCGAGGGGCAGAGAGAGAGGGAGACAGAGGTTCTGAAGTGGGCTCTGTACTGACAGCAGAGAGCCCGAAGCAGGGCTCAAACTGATGAACCCATGAAGTCCGTGACCTACGCTGAAGTCAGACGCTCAACTGACGGAGCTACGCAGGTCCCCACAAGGGCACAAATTCTGTCATGTAGTTTCACACTCTGACTTTATCTAAACCTAATCACCTTCCCAAGGCCCCACTTCCAGATACCATCATAGTGGGGGTTAGGGCTTGAACATACGAGCTTGGGATGCAAATATTTAGCCCATAGCACTTCCCTCACAGCCAAATTAGCATTGACGTTGCAAACAAAGGAAAGTGGCACAGAGTAAAGGATGAAGTGCAAAGTGGGTTCTTTCTTGAAAATTCTTCACCTGCATTGAATTATGTCCATCATGAGGCCATTTGAGAATCAGAAATGCAGTCTTAATGTATTAGTTCTCTATTGCTGCATAAGTTCTCCCCAAAGTGGTGGTTTAAAACAACGGTAAACATCATCTTCAACAGTGTCAGTGGGTCAGGAATTAGAGAGTGGCCCAAGTGGGCCATTTTGGCTCAGCATATCTCATAAGGCTGCAGTCAGTTGTCAGCCATGGCTTCAGTCACTGAGGCCTGACTGGGACCAGAGGATACACTTCCAAGATGACCCAAGTCCTCCTCAAGGGGCCTCTTTACTGCTTGTGTCCTCACAGCATAGCAGCTGGCTTCCCTCAGAGTGAATAACAGGAGAGAACATCACAGAAGCTGTAAGGCTTTTCCTAACCTAGCCTTGACTTAATCACACACCATCATTTCCACCATATTCCTTTGGTCCCACAGGACAGCCTCAGATCAGTGTGGGAAGGGAACTGTGCACGACTCGAACCAGGAGGCAAGGCAGGGGGCCAGTGGGCAGGCTACCACGCCTAATAGCTGTCCTGTTGTAGTTTCTCACCTTTTGCTGCTTAATGAAGAAAGAGCTTGTTTAAGAAATGAGTGGGTGGGGCGCCTGGGTGGCTCAGTCGGTTAAGCGTCCAACTTCAGCTCAGGTCATGATCTCACGGTTCATGGGTTCAAGCCTCATGTTGGGCTCTGTGCTGACAGCTCAGAGCCTGGAGCCTGCTTCGAATTCTGTATCTCCCTCTTTCTCTGCCCCTCCCTTGCTTGTGCTTTGTGTATCTCTCTCTGTCTCTCTCAAAAATAAATAAACATTAAAAAAAAAAAAAAGAAAGAAATGAAGGTTACCCTCTTCCTAAGTGTATCTAAGGCAGATGACTGAGGTGATGTTGACAGAGGTGGTCACTCTTGGAGAGTCCAAGAGGGTGAAGGAGCAGAATTTGGTGCCAGGCGAGTAAAGAAGGACGCTTGGTACCAGAAAAGAGAAGAGAAGGTAGAGGCCCAAGGACTCCAGCCTCTCTGCTGATTCAAGGCATCCAGATTTAAGACGGAATA